GAAGCCGATCCCAAACCTGGAGCCCAACCCCAGTGTGACCCCAGAACCTCAACCTGATCCCAACCATGAACCCCAAACCTGCGTCCCAAACCCAGACCCAAACTCTGAGTCCCAAATGTGTCCCCTAGACCCTGACCCTCAACCCCAGGTCCAACCACGGACACTAACTTTGGAATTCAACCCAGATCTCCAGTGTGGCCCCTGATCCTGAACCCCAAGTCCCAACCATGGACCTCAACCTTTGGTCCCATCCTGGACCCCAACAGTAGATCCCAAACCCGGACCCCTACCCAAACCTGACGCCCACTCTCAGTTCCAGAGGTGGCCCCTGAGCCTCCATCCCAGGTCCCAAACCTGAACCCCAATCCTGGGTCCTGAGCAGGGACCTCCACCCTGGGTCCCAAAGATGGCCCTGGGGGGCAGCGGGTGATCCCACCACCAAACCCACGAATCCTCATCCCACTCAACTGAGCCCCCCCACGGCCAGGCTGGGGAGCACCCCTGGGTGCTGATGGTCCCCAGGAGGGCCCCCCTGCCCCCGTACCCGTCTCCACGTCCTGCACGTAGAAGTGGAGGTCGTCGGTGATCTCGGTGACGAACACGGGTTTGTAGTTGGCCGTGCGCTCCTTCTCCTCCAGCACCGGCACCACCTCCTCCACCGGGGTCTCCTCGTAGTGGGACCACACCTGGGGGCACACGTGGGGGGGGACATCCCTTGGGGTGGGGACATCCCTTGGGGTGGGACATCCCTTGGGCTGGGGACATCCCTTGGGGTGGGACATCTCTTGGGGTGGGTCCCTCATCTCTTGGCACAGGGACATCCCTTGGGGAAGGGCCATCCATTAGGGTCGGGACATTCCCTGAGGTGGGGCCATCATCTCTTGGGGTGGGGATATTCCTGTGGTGGGGCCATCCCTCAGGGCGTGGACCCCTCTTGGGCTGTGGACACCCATCGTGGGGGGGGCCACCCCTTGGTGTGGGGACACCTGCTGTGGTGGGGACCTCACTTGGCACCGGGGCACATCCCTTGGCACGAGGCCATCACCTCTCGGGATGGGGACAGCCCTCGGGTGTGGAGATCTCTTGACAAGAGGATACCCTCTTTCGGGATGGGGCCATCTCTTTGGGATGGCGTCACACTGGGGGTGTCCTGGCCCCCCTCTCACCTTCTCCTTCCTCTGCTTGGCCGCGTCCTGAGCCGCCAGCAGGGCCTTGCAGTAGGGGCTGCGCTCGGCCGTGAAGTGCACGCGGGACAGCGCCTGCTCCACCAGAGCCACCGACAGGTTCACGCCCTCGATGTGCAGCCACCCGATGAAATTCCCGGCCTTGTCCATGCTCTCCACCTCCACCTCCACCTGTGGGATCCCGGGAGTCACCCTGGGCACCCGCCCCAAGCGCCGCCTCGTCCCGGCGCTCCGAGCTCCGTCCCCCCCGATGGCCCCTCTGCACCAGGCTCAGACCATCGACCCCGAGGTGCCACCCCAAAGTGTCCCCCCCGAGCAGGTGACAGATGGGCCACGCTGTGGTGATTTAACCCCTGGCCGTGGTTTAACCTTTGCCGTGGTTAATTAACAGGGTTTGGCTCCACGGGCGCTGCCGGACACGGAGCGTGTCCCTTCCCTGAGCTCGCCAGAACCGTTCCCGCTGCTTCCCAAAGTGTGTGGCATCCTGCTGCCCTTGCCCTGTGCCAGCCACAGCACTGCACTGGCCATGGCACCACCCCGGCCACGGCATCACCCTGGTCATAGCACTGCCCTGGCCATGGCATCACCCTGGCCATGGTACCACCCCGGACACCAAGAACGAGGGGGGGGCAATGGGCTGCCTGTGGGGGCTGCAGGGGGTCCCCTCCCCACCATCCCAGGGCTCCCACCTGGGGCAGGGGGGACACAAGGCAGTGGTGGGGGTGCAACCCCCGGCCCGGGCCCCCCAAAGCCAGTGGTACCCAGGTGGGGTACCCATCCCCTGGCACGGTGCCCCCTCCCCAGCCCATGGCAGAGCTGGACCTGCAGCCCCCTCACCCCTCCATGCCCCAGCAGAGCGGGGTTTGTGCTCCCCATCAGTGTCACAGCTGGTGTTGGGTCTCAGTCCTGAGCCCGGGGAGGGGTCCACAGACCCCCGCTCAGCTGGGGGGTCGGATCCTGGGGCGGGTGCCCATCACCCAGGCACTGTGCCCCCTCCCCAGCCCATGGCAGAGCAGGACCCCCCTCCCTCTGCAGAGCCGGGTTTGTGCCCCCATCGGTGTCACAGCTCGGGTCGGGTCTCAGCCCCGAGCCCGGAGGGGGTTAAAGGGGTCCACGGACCCCGCTCAGCGGGGG